TATATATATATATATATATATGTATGTATATATATGTATGTATGTATATATAGACTTGGGATCATGTAAAACCAATGATTTTTCGTAAGACCCGTAAGACCAATTCTGAACCTTTGGATTAGATCTACAATCAGAAAATCTAAACATCCATAAACGTCACGAGACTTCTCAATAATTACAAAATTGTCATTGTGCAAATTAGACCATTAGATCATTAATTTATAAAGTTGATCAATGAACATAAATTGGTCTTACGGGTCTCACGAAAAACCATTGGTCTCACGTGAACCCAATCCTATATATGTATGTATATATATATATGTATGTATATGTATGTATATATGTATGTATATATATATATATGTATATATGTATGTATGTATGTATATATTGAGAGAATACCCCAAATGAATTTGACTTTTCGTATGGTATTTCGTAGGAATAAAAGGATACATGGATAGCTTACAAAATCCATTTATGTATGTGAATGATCGTGTGAAAATATGAGTTAAAATAAGGTGCAAGAAGAAATTTGAACCCTTAGATCACTTTTATCTCACCCCACCCCATGAATCGCATTTGATACGAGAATTGATAGGGTGCATCTCGATACATCTCATTATTGTTGATCTTCAATTAAGATTAATCCAAGGGTGGAGATCCCTTCTTACCCTTCTCACTATAACTTCCATTCTCACCGAAACCAACCCTATATAGATACAAGGTTAGGTTTTGGTGAGAAAGAGAGTTAAAATGAGAAACGTAAAAAGAGATCTCTACCCTTAGATACACATTGGAATGTGATGCACCGAGATGAGGTGCATCAGATTAATACCCATATCAAGGGCGCTTGACATGTGGGTGGGTTTGAGATTGAAGATAATAAATGGTCCAGATCCCTTATTACAATTCTCAACTTAACGCTCCTTCTCACACGATCCTTCGCCATAGATATATAGGAGGAATCTTTTACAAACCCAACCATTAGTATAAACCATACAAATAAATTAGTTGAAATATTTATAAAAATAATGAGACTTTATTTTATTATTATTTGGATAATAATGGAAGATTATCATAGTCCGTTTACAATGTCTAACGGTTTATATTAAAAAAAATCGAGATATTCATTAGACTAGATGGACAGTTGATATTAGTTTGTATAGTTTATACTAATGGTAGGGTTTGTAAACAAAGCCACCCCTCTCTCTCTCTCTCTCTCTCTCTCTCTCTCTATATATATATATATATATATATATATATAACATGTTGCAAGTATTTCATAACATTGTTCCCTTAATTTTCCAATACTTACAAAATGAATTTGAATACAATCTTTGGTATGTTAACAATATCAGGAGCAGATTGGATTGGAGGCATGTATCACCATCTTCGTACCAATGATGTGAGCAACTGCAAAAGACATTAGACATTCTTTTACTCCTTTATTCTAAGTTTGTTCACATTTTAAGCCATGTAAAGATGCTAACTTATGTAAACCTCCGGTAACAAATTGGTACTGCACCCACGGAAAGAAAAGTTCCTACACAATCTCAATTCTAACTTGGAGACCTGGATTCAACAATCTCAAAAAGATTTAAGTATACGTGCGTGTAAGAAAACCAAAGCAAAGTAAACAAACCCAATAAACTCAGTAGGGTCTGTTTCAGTGAAGATCCCCGGGTTGCAAAAGCAAAAAATAGCAAGCGTAAAACAAGTGTGGTAAAGAGAAGATGATTATTAGAAGAAAATGTGAATTAGTTAGCCTACTTTTTTCCATAAATTACTGAAAATGAAAGTTACGACATACCTCAAATAGCTCAAATGCACTGCCACGCTTGTATATGTCGTTCTTCTTGCTCTTATCATCGACTAAAAGGTTGGATAGCAGTGCTCTCCATCCTACAAGTAACAGAGCGGTACTACCCATAGTAACCGCAATAAATCTCGTAGGAGGGATGTGACCCACACTTGCAGCCCTTATAAATATTCCCAACTGAAAAAGACAATAACTTGTAAATTATAATTATACAAGACTTGTATAACAGAAACAAAACAACATGAAAACAAGACTGGTGTTCTGTTATGGAGTCGCAACGTTATAACAATCTCGAGAATAACATTCAATGTTTTTGGTTCAAGTCCCTTAAGACGCTTGTATTGTGTTTCATCGTGTGCTTACCACCGGGAGAAAGTGTAGCATATCAAAGCTTACATTTCATTAAGATTGGAGTGTTTTGTATTGTATGTCGTAACTACAATAAAATTTTATGTTATTTTATACTACGGTAATTAGAGGATAAATGGCCTTCCAACCTTTGAACTTGTATAAATAGTCAGCCATGTGATTCAAGGAATAAACAGTCTCCTTTTTCGCCATCCTCTTTCATATCTTTCTGGTGCATACAAGCATGGCACGCTATGCCAAAATCCCTCTTCATCCCGTCTTACACCGTTACCAACATTCAACATGGAACAAAAGCCGCCTACTCCTCATGGGTGAACCTTTTTAAAGCGATAGATCCGATGTTCAAATCCTGAAACGAAATCAATGAATCTATGGCACTCTCCCCGAGCTGCGGCCTTTGAATGGAGTACGAGTCCAACACCATGAAGCTCAAAGTCCAAGGCCATCTCTCGATCGATGCCTATTGTCAACACCTCAAAGATCTCGTCGATCAACTTAATGACGTTGATAACACAGTTAATGAACAACACATGGTTCTAGAACTGGTTCATGAACTGCCTTTTAAGTTCGTCAATCAAAAGCCTGTTGTCTTTTTTATACCACCTGAAGCATGCTGCAATTAGAACAGCATCGGCATTTGGTATGGGACAGTTCGCAACCTCCATCGGCTATTCTCGTGCCCTAATCCGCTTCCCCAAACACCCAACATCCTCCCGGTCCCAAACCAGTCACGCAACAACAGAAATAGGGGACAAAACAACAGCCGGCATGGTGGCTGAATCCTTCGTGGTCTTGGTGGAGGCGGTCACAAATCAATGGAGACAACCATCACCCCTAAGCTAGTCCCCGACGGCAGTCTCCATGGCCAAACTGGTGGGTTGTATCCTCGACTCCTTATCCTACTCAAGCTGGCTGAACAATCCATGGCATGTAGGAACACACGGCTCATCTGGACAGCATACTCTACAGCCCTCGATCCACGATGCCTCCTCAACAACCTAATCAGATCCTACAACACACTAGAACCAACTGATTTCAGCAGCATGACCTTGACTCCACCCATGTCACAACAAATCCAGGTAATATTGCTCATCCTTCTAATGCTAATATTCGTTTTATTTGTGCTGGTAATCGTGTTTCCATTCTAGTTCGCGCAATTGGCTCCTCCGCCATTCCCTTACCTCACGACCGATTTCATCTACAGAACATCCTATATACTCCACATATTTTCAAAAACCTTATATCCGTTCGTCAGTTTATTAAAGATTATAATCTCTCCGTTATTTGATCCCAAATGATTTTTCTGTGAAAGGTAACCCTTTTACGGAGCAATAGTGTTGGCAAACTTCCTCTCGTGTCATCTCCATCTTTGTTCCTTGCCGTCTCCTTATCTGTCTTATGGCATAATCGTATCAATCATCTGAGTTCACCCATCATGAATAATCTTCGTCTCAGTTCGGCAACACAATTTATGTCATTCAAATGTCTTCCTTTTTATGATTCTACTTAAGTTACTTTACCACCGTTTAATATTGTACATGGCAACTTATGGACCTTTGTCGTACTAAGTAGAAGTGGATATAAATACTATCTCTTCCTCATAGATAACGTCACACAAAATGTATAGGTATATCCACACAAGTGGAAATAATTCTTACAGGTTTGTTCATGTTCAAACCCAATTCCAGCAACATGTCAAAAAAGACATGGGGTGAATTTGGTGTCTTTAAACAATTTGCAAACAACAATGGCCTCACCTTCTGGTTGTCGTGTCGTACATCCTCTCAAAATGGCAAAGTTGAAGGTATGATCCATCGTCTAAATGAACTAATACTCACCCTCCTTGTCATACCTGCCCCCACCCGGCATACTTCTACCACTCTCCCCACTAAACTTCTACACTTGGGATCACCCACACTCGACTTTTCTCCATAAAATCAGTCCTACAGTCATCTTTGGGTCTTCGGCTGCCCATGTTATAGAAACCCCTCGGCCACTTGCACTCACAAACTCAACTCTTGTTCCTCAGAAACAACCTCATCTCTTGATCCTCCAAAAAATGGGTCACAGTCTCACGGTCAAGTGTCGAGGCCATATACCTGTCAAATTCGGTTCACAATCTTCTACTTGAGCTCCACTTACCTGTCAAAACTGCAACCATGGTCTAATATGACAATTTGTCGGCTATCTATCTATTTATCTGGCAACCCAATTCAATACCAAGGATTTACTTTGTTCCTAAAAGAGTTCCAGTCAGTGCCATTCGCGTAATGCACATCCCTATAGAATATCAATACGATAACATCTTCATCAAAGGTCTAATGCAATGGCTTTTTACTAATCACTTGCTCCAAATCAAGACTAAGCATCCGCCCTCCTCTGACTCCATGTAAGGGGGTATAATAGGAATTGATATTGTAATTCTCTTGTGTATATCCTTTCCTTTATGTAAATCCATAAATATAGACTTGATCACCTGTAATTATAGTATCATTAGCTATCCATTCTTTGGAGATGAAATAGTCATCCATGTAACCTCATGTGACTCACGAAATAGACGGTGTTCAGATAAAACCCGGGAAAGCAAGGTTCTAACATGGTTGATACCATGATCATTGTTTCCCAAAATCCTATTTGCCCCATTTTGAAAGGGGGCTTATTTAGATTCTTAAACTTAGCTAGGCCATATTTTTCCTTCTAAATTGCTTTAACGAGTTGATCCAATATACTACGACGGTAACATTTCCAAAGCATATTTCAAGATCCAATGGGGATCACTTCCTTCATATATGTTCGCCTAGGACTTCTAAACCACCAAAGATTGTGTTGTCCGCATCATGTTCTGTAACTTCAACCACGTACACTTTAGTGGCTCTTGTGAACCACGAGCAACTTTTTTGTCTCTTCTGTTGCTTTCATGGCATTAGCTATAAGTTTGAAGGCAACTACATAAGTTGCCAAACTATAGATAACTTTGAGACAAAATGTTATGTTGCATCATGTGATCAACATTTGGTGATGAAGGTTCGGTAGGAATGGCTCATTCATTTGATGATTCATGATGGAAGGTGGACTCTCTTGTACAAACATTTTGGATCAAAGAACTCCGATACCAACATGATAGGAACCAAAAGTTAACACGTAAAGAGAGAGTACAAATTTTTTATTGAAAGAGAATAGGATATGTATCAAAAACTAAATTCTCCAATAATGCGTTGACAAAAAGGACAAACTCCAATACAAATGCTAAGAAGATTCAAAATGTTTTGCAATAAAACAAATGCTACTAAGGTATTTCCATACCACATATCCCCAGGGTAATTATTATGGAACATATGCTAGCAATAAGGAGAACATACAAAAAATGTTGAAAGTGGAGAAGTGGTGTCAAGAATGGCATGATGGATACATACCCCAACATATTAGAAGTTGGTTAGTGTGACAACCAGGTTTTCGGTTATACAAGTTCGGGGTGATTTTTGAAAGGTATTGATAAGTGGATGGATTTAAATTGTTTATGTGCTTAATTGTTTATATAATTCCACCGACTTAAGGTTTCATGTAGGAGATATTTGTTATATCTCATAGGAGAATGTGAATGTATGATTTTAAAACTATTAAACTCCACCGCCTATGAGTTAATTATGGTGGTATAAAAGTGAAAGATAGATTCATCTTATTTGTTTTGTTTTTGGAGAGAAGAAAAGAAAGAAAACCTCACCGTGTGTTTTCTTGTGTGAAATCCTACGTGATTCTGTAAGAAGAAGTTGATTCTGTGGTTGTATTTGGAAATTTCTGCTGTGTGAATTCATCTTCGTATACGTGAATATAACGTGAGTTTATGTTATCAACTTTCTTTATTTGGTATTTGAAATACTGAACCGGATGGTTCTTACATGAAAATGTGGCAAAGCTGTTTCTTGAAGTTGTTTTGAGTTTGATGATGAAACTGGGTTTAGAACTATAAAGTTCTTAATATGAGTTTCTATTATAAAACTTGTTTTGATGCCATTCTTGGCAAAAATGAAGGATTTTGTTATGGTTATAATTTATGTGGGAATAAGGGTGGCATATCAAGAAGATATGTACCTTGGGATAAGGGTGGCATATCAAGAAGATGTGTACCTTGGGATAAGGGTGGCAATTGTGAAATCTAGGTTTTGATTATATGTTTTGTTACCGCATCCATGGGATGCAATGACCTTGAGTTATCGCATCTATGTGATGCGAGGACTTAGGTTATTGCTCCCAATTGATGTGATAACGTTATTATGATGAGGAAGAAAATTGTTTATGACCAGAGAGGCTTTGAATGGTTGTACTTTTGAATTCAAGTTTTGGGTTGGTCTGGTTTCTGCATGGCTTTACTTCAAGTTATTTTGATAAAATGAAGGTTTGGTGAGGATCCAGAGGGGCTCTAGTTGGTCTTTATGTCCAACTAGAGGGCCTCTAACATGTCTTGACCCAGAGGGTGTGCATGTGCTATGCAGAAACTCTTTATCTTGGGAATTGAATTGTATGTCCGAGCTATGTGTTCGAGCTCTATATCCATGTTGTTAGTTCCAAGCAATTTTTATAACTAAAACCTTTTGGACTAAACCATTTTCATCTTCGTTTTTATGTTGGCATTTAGAGCCCAGAGCATAGTTCAACCAAAAGGGCTCTGGCTCTGGAGAGCCTCTGGTTGGCTTGGCCTCTGGACGGATTATTTTTATTTATTTGTTAAGTCCTTGAGAAAATATTCCAACCTTTGGTAGAGGACTCTGGTTGATCTTCATGTTTAACCAAAGGGACTCTGGTTGTATTCC